TTTTTTTTTTTTTTTTTTTTTTGTTATGCTTTTTTCTTTTTCTCACCTTTTTCTTTCAACCGCTCCTTTTCACCCCTTTTTTAAGCAATAAAAGGGAAAAAGTAAGTCCAAAAATATATTAAAAAAGGAAAAATTTTATATCTTATTTTATTTCATTTGACCATTTCTTCAATATAGATAAAATATAATTCATAAATTACTTCATTTTTTTATGGCAAGAAATGTATGTTCTTTTTCTTTATTTGTATATTAATTGTGAATTTTTTTATACATTTTCTTTTCTTAAAAAAAAACAACCTTTTAATAAATGAGGCTTTCACCTATATTATTAAATGTAAATGTATCATTTTTGGTCTTCAAGATATATAAATATCATTTTCTAATTATGGTATTAAGTTCTTTATTTATTCTACCAACTCTACTTTTTTATATTTATGATGTTATTAAAATTCTCAACTCTTCAATAAATGTCATTCTATATAATATATATATATATGGATTTTGTAATAAAATATTATTCCCTTTGCTAAATTCAATTCTCAATATAGTATTGTAAATATATATATATATATATTGAATAAATTATGAGCAAAATTAATTAAAATAAAAATCATTTGAAGGTCGAATTTCCTCGTTCAATTGTTAAAGAATATGTTTTAGAGATATATAATTTTTATTTTATTTTTTCTGTTTTCTAAATCTAAAAAAGGTTGAGACGGAGAAGAATTCTGAACTCCCCGTTGGTCTCCGTCGGAAGTGCAAGTCCTCTTTCATGTTCTTCCTTCTAAAGGCTGATCACTGATCCAAATCAACACTCTCTCCCCCGCCGAGCAACGGACGAAGCGGCATTATCAATCTATTCCCTGTTTGCAGATCTCAGTCTTATCAGGCAAGTCGAGTTTGGATTTCTCTTTATTAGTTGAATTTTTCTAATTCCTCGAAATGAAATCTAATTGGAGCTTAAGCACTGCTGCAATCACGAGCAAGTTGTGTTTCCGATCACTGTTTCTGTTTCTACAGTTGTTATACTAGCAGCATCTCTCTTTTTTGTTCCTTTAATCTATTGGATTGTTGGAGATATTTGAATTATCGGTAAATTTTGTCTGCACTAGTTGTAATAAGTTGGTGTACGTTCAATCTGGAGAGTAGAAAATGCTTTATTAGCATTCTATTTCAATAACCAGGGGAAGTTTAGTAATTAGCTTAAATTTTTTACTTCAAAAGCTGTGCTATAGTTTTTCGTTCATTTCTGAGGTTAGACCTGAATCAGTCTCATTATTTCCAGGTTAGTTCTGAATCAGTCTGATTGTTGAGTAAAAACCAGTAATTAACCTCATATATGATGTGATGCTGTACTATTTTGGATATTTAAGCCCTTGGACACTGCAAGGATTATCATCTTATTGACATGCTTCGTCGTGGCTTCAAGACAATTAATGTTCATCAGTTTATTTCTTTGTCTTTCTTGGTCTTGCATAGAAATGTATACTTCCTTTTTTATCATCTGTCGGAGACTTTTGCGAAACTTTATTTAATATATGATTCTCATGTCTAGATTAATCATCTCACCATTACTATGTCACTTTCTGAACTGTAGAAATGGAACCATTAAGGGGGTGTCTATATCGCATTTGTTCTTTCCAAATAGAGTTTTGACGTGCATGTTTCTAAATTTATGATCATGTATACTTGGAGAAACCAGATAAGTGGTTACACGCCTATTGAGCTGATTCAAGTAGCAATACAACCACCTGAGCAGTGAGAAATTTAATGTCTTAGGTACTTAAATATCAAAATATTGCTAATACAGAACCTTAGTGAATCTAGGTTGGTTTAATATTTCCGAGTTCCTGGTTGTTTGGTGTTCACCAAGATGAGAAAATTGTCGGTAGTCAGTGTAATCCTGATGTACTTAATTGCTCAAGTTTCCAGGTAGAAGGAATCCAGGTTCCCGCAGATGAAGGTGGTGCTACACAAACACACGGTGGCGTGTATTGGTGGATCTTGCCAGCTGAATGTCTTTCTTTTTCTTGCACACACACATTCTATTTGGATGGTAGAATAGCCGCCGGATGCTTCCTTGTTTCTCTTTTTATACTGTTCAATGCATTGGTTTCAGCAGCTGGTTGGGCGATTATGTTCTTATTAGAACTTGGTTTCAAGGCCAAGTTGCTACGAATAATCATCTCGAACTTCCTTTGGAGTTGAATTTTAGATCTCTCACTTGATCTGCCACTAGTTCACCCATCTTTCTATGTTCACTCTGTTCAAATTCTGGTTTCCAGGCCAGCCTTTTAATACTTGTCATGTCTACATCTCCATTTTAGAGCATCTTGTGGAAGGTTTTTTGTTTTCTAAAATCACTTATGTCATGTCTAAAACCACTAAAAAGAGCATGACCAAAAAGATTTTTGTCATTCCAAAATCACTTCTAGGTATACCCATAGTATAATATATGTCCTTGATTGGGAGTGGGATCAAAGCCCACATGGTTTTGTTTGTGAATATCCAAAAAACTTCAAAACATCTTATCTATCTTCTCAAATTATAACCAATTTGAGACTTTTGCAGTACACATTATTTAACCTAGGAAGAGAAATCAATAGATGTTTATCTTCTAGGTTGACAACTTCCTAGAATATCTGCTCCATTTAGGCCGTACATTTAAGTTTTCCTCTCAATTTTGCCCGCCTATAGTTAGTTGGGAATATGCAGAACTTATTGATTTCTCTATACGGCCATTTGCAGTGGGCTATGGATAAGTGAGAGTTGTGCTTGATAAATGTTATTGTGGCTGATGCAGGCAATAATACAAATGTTATCCTCATCTTCTGCTTTTAAGATTCATGATATCTCTTGGTGTTGTCTGGGTCTTGTGAGAACAACGAAAGTGCGTGTTATTCGTTACGTAATCCTTTGTTTTTTCCTTTTATAACGCTCGAGAATCTCTTTCATGTTTATGCTGAAGTTCATTGTTTACCTCATTCGAAATGAGGGGATGGAGTGAAAGACTGGCCAATCTATTTACTAAAACTGAAGGTGTAGTGAACAGCCTGTTCTCAGTTTACGGTATACCTTCAAAAGTCATGTCACTCCATCAATTTACACTGCGTGTCAACTGTTTTGAATTGTGTCAGTCAATTTCTCTTCAGGTATTTATGATATGATCTAAAATCCCAAAGAGGTCACTCAATGATGCCGAAAATTTTGCTGTGGTGTGTCCTTGCTTGTGTAACAGTGTGGGATGAGTTTAAATGAGTTGCCAAAACAATAACTCTGTATCTTCAACTTGTATTCTTGAAACGAGATAATAAAATTGCATATGGATTGCCGGGGTTTTATATCTTTCATCTTTCTTTGTGGACAAATGTACTTTGGTCTCCTGGTCTTGTCTTAAAGTTTTTCTTCCCTTAAACATCCATTGATTTCCCAGATGCTTAACGCAATGCTTGTTTTCGCGGCTTCACTTTCAGGTTCATATTTATAGTGTCGATGAACAACCCCAATAATTCTTTGGATGTGAGGATAAAGGATTCTGTTTAGGGAATGGACGTACTTGGGGAACTCTGTTTTCTTCTCTTACAACCCTAATAAAATAGAGTAAGTTGTCTGGTCCCAAATGAAACGAACGTTTTCTTGCGATCATGTCGTTAGTAGCCCCAAAAATCCAAGTTTATTTATCAATATCCATTTGTATGGGTTTGTTTTTTATGACCTCAAGCTACAATTACTATATTAAATTTCATATTCACGACCGAAATACAAATTACAAATCAAAAACACAGAAGGCACTTCATGAAAATACATCATAAGTTGAAATCAAGAGATCAAATGTTCTCAAATATAGTGAATATGAATATATGAGTTGATGGTAGGGAGGCACGGCAAATACAAGATTTTAGTTATATAAAAAGTTGATGGAACGTTATTAAAACCAGAAACTTAATCCGATGTCATAAAGTATAGTTCAAGATCACAGCCCACCTGATTGCAACCCTATGGTGAATAAACATTTGAGAAAGTGTGCAACACGAGTGTCCGTCTTAAGCTTCAGTAATTGGGTACTCAAAAACTACGTCTTTCCCAGATAGCTTCCTGTAAACTGCAGCGAAGCTTTCCAATTTGTATTCGGTGTTATTCCGTTCTTTAGGATCCAAGAGGACCTGTAAAATTTCGAGAAAATGAGGCAATTAAATACAAATTGATACTTTTCAAAATATTAGTTGCAGAATGTTAATCATCGTGTGGCTTTGGTGGCCAACAAATATTTTAACATCGATAAGAATCGTTTGATCTTCTCAATAACCTGACGACCCATCTAAGAGACAAGTGCAAAATTTAATCAGAGAATGTAATCACCTTCATTATCTTTGTTCCATCAACTCTGTATCTAACACGCTTTCCAACAATCTCGGCAGGCAATACAACATCCTCAAGCATTGCCTCATGCACGGATGTGAGGGTACGGCTACGGGGCCTCTGTGCGGCTGATCCTTTCTTTGGAGGCCTCAATATCCTTCTAGTAGCAATCAGAATCACATCCTATCATAGATCAACTATGGTTTATGAAAAAATAGAGAATGGAACTACAGAGTCGATAAATGTGCACAGTACAAATATTGACGATAGATTAGTTCTTGCGTTTGATAAAATGGCTGTCAGACTACAATAAGTTTACCTTAAAAAAAAATAGTTCACTAATTTATTTAATACCAAAAGACAGAGTGTTGGTAACCTAATCCATTAGCTATACGAAGCCAAACAACTGTTGGCTATAATAATTAAGAAGATAAGAATGGTCGTCATTACGTTTTAATGATTTAAATCCATTCCTTCTAATAAATAGCACCAGATAATTATATTAAAAAAGCACCATCTCCCCACCTTTCCACTGAATTTCTTTTCAAGCTCTCTAACAAGCCTCAGGTGAATTTTGCGGAAGGCCTTCCTCAATCTGTATGGGACATAGACCACAACTGCCTTGCGATTACCAGAAACATCGACTTGACTGCAGGAACAGTATGAAATTTATATTCATAAGACAAAAAAAAAAAAAAAAAAAAAAAAAAAAAAAAAAAAAAAAAAAAAAAAAAAAAAAAAAAAAAAAAAGCATTCTATCCATCATTCCTTCTTACATTGCAGAATTAATGTAAAGGTCCTTCAGGTCACTTTTAAGCTCGGAGTTGGTGTTTTCCAAATCAAACAATGCCTAAATAGACAAAGAACAAATATCAGTTCAGAAAACGAACAAACGAGCAAGGTTGGCAATCAGCAGACATCTTAAAAGTTCACCTGAGCAACAGATTCCTCAAATTCTGAGGGGTCAGCATCATTATCCTTATGGATCTTCTTCCTTGCCGTAAACATCTTTACGAATCAAGCTACAAGTCATGAAACACAAACATCTTCAAACAAGATTTTCGTTCAACTTCGAAGTTCCGTAGGGAAAAAAATAAAACATAAATTTCCTACAAACAATGACCTTCAAGATTAATCTCATAAATTCATAAACAATACACTCTAAGTTAGCCATGAACAATTACACAATGGTGATTAGAGAATCCATTAAGCAGTTAAATCTTCCAAATGAAGAAACAATCTTCACCAAATCCAATTTTTGCGACTCTTCGTACTCAAGTAATGTCAACCAACAAAAGCGCATAGCGAAAAAGATATCGAGCGCAGAGAATTTGATTTGGATAGCAAATTAAATGTTAAGATTCAGAGTTATGAAGATTCAAACCTGTAGAAACGCAGGAAGGATAAGAGGTAGGGAACTTCAAACCGAGTGCGAGGAACTAAAAACCCTAGAAAACCCAAGGACTTGTTAGCGAGTGAGGATGGGTATATAAACGAACCGACTGAACGGTTGAGATGCCTATTTTAAAAAACAGATCAACAGCCCAGAGTGGCGAAATTATAAAAATAATTAATTTATTAAATCTTAATTAGCTACGTGAATTTGTGAACGTAAGGCCCATTTAAATTGGGCCTTCGAGCCCAAATATATTTTTGATACTGGACCTTCTGGTCTCCCAGTGGGCCGAGCTATTAGGGTGGATATGTCCGAAAATTCGCTCGTTTTATTTACAGCGAGTCCTTGTAAAATTTCGATCTCGCAAATTAAATAAATAATTTTAATTAAATACAATATAAGTTTAAAATTAAACCGCGCCACTGGAACCTAAATTCATTAGAAGTTGGACATGGTAGCATCAAAATGGAATCTTAGCAAGAATATTCGGATCTTCCATTCAATGGCATTTGACCGTTGCAATGATATGAAATTCGTTTTAATATATACTTTTAAGACTGAGATATTTAATTTAGTTGGTAGGAATATGTTGGATGAGTTTGGTATTTCACACATCTTGACCAGTCAAACCGAATAATTGTAACAAAATGCTGTTTTAATCATGATTGATGGCTTCAACTGCAATCTAATTAATTAATTAATGCTTACATAGCCACCATTTCTAGAATACTCCACTACTATGCATAAATAATTTGTAAGCTTCTTCTTTTTATGGCTCAAATTCAATGTATATATTAAATTCTACACCATCAATTACTATTCTATCGTCAGTATTGATTTTGCTAATTGTGATTTCATTGTTAGTAGTTATTGTTATTACTATTATTGATCGTTAACTATCATTAAATTATATCGACGATCGACACTGGATCATAACATTATTATTTTGACGTAGAAATTTATTTATAAAAATATTTAAAAAAAAATGTAATTTTTGATGTGAAAGAAAGAAGGGGAGAGACCCGATTCTATGTATGGATCCACTTAGGACAACACATTAATGAGTTTAGAAAATGATTGCCGCCGACGCCATCGAGAGATGGCGCTCGCTGTCGTCTCCAAATTTCCTAACTGACTTCCTCCCTTTATTTATTTATTTATTTATTATAATATCTTCAATTTATCACGTCATCCTTTCCTCAAGTTCATACTTCTCTTGCACACCAGCTCTACATTTTTTTATCACTATGGATCATATTCTTATTCTTTCTTTAATAAAAAATTAAATATTCTCCTTTATAAATATGTCACCCATTATGTAATGTATGTTGTGATTTTCTCGTCACATCACATCATACAATCTATAGAAAATTCTAGGTTCAAAACTATATATTAAAAATTCAGCCACGTCTTTTTATATTTTGAATTAAATTTATTTCAAAATTCTTTTTTTTTTTTTTTTTTTGTCAATGGTCAAGTTTAGAAAGTAGTCAAATTGAAAACAAATTGCATTATTATTATTATTATTATTATTTGTGGAAAAGGAATTCCATAAAAAGAACTTTATAGATGCTTTGAATAGTATGAAGGGAAAAAAGTAATCAAACTAGAATCACCCATCCTTTTAGTGATAGTGATGCGTGGGTGAAAATGTTATGATTTTTAAATAGAAAATGATATTCAAAATTATAAATAATTTTTTTAATTTAACTATCTAAAATCCTCTATATTCAAAACTATTTATGATAAGTATTCAAGTCGACATCACAATCTAATAGTGTAATAGTTATATTAAATTCATCATCACATGGATAAGGTCCACGAAATTGACATGTCTACACGCCACTGTAAACGTGTAATGCTATATGCATGTTTATCTATAAAAACGCTCATATGCATTTAAAACTTGAAAATCAATTTCAGTTATAAAAAGATTATTTTTTATTTTAAAATTTTTAGTAATTAAATTTACATGAAATTAATAATTTTTTTCAAAGTGAGTTTGTTGGATAATATTTAAAATATTAAATAATTAATTGAAATTTAGAATTTATGGGTTAAAAAAAGCATGGAATCTATCTTCAAATCATAAAGTTGATAATTTAACCAAGAAAATAATACAAATAGCTAAGGAATCAATATTCTAATTAATACACATTTGATAAAATTACTAAACTAAATTTTCGTTATTTCTTTTCACAGAAATAAATGTAAAAAATTAAAAACGAAAAATCGCACACAATTTCATTTTGCGGCTTGTGGGGTCCATCTTTCAAAAAAAAAACAAGAACCCAATAGGCTGTTTTAAAAGTTCCAATTAGAATTGCCACAATCCGTCAAAGTTCCACAAACAGCCGCCAAAGGTATCGTCGTCGTCAACCCAACCCGTTAACGGCGACCGGGAATTGCCAATCGGGTATTCAAAACCCGCCGCCGTCATCTCGCTGCAGTGGTTCCAAGATGGGACGTCGGAGAATGGATCGGAGACCTGCGAGATATCCACAGACTCCGAACTGGTGCTGTTCTGCTCCGTGTCGAAATGACGGCCTTTGCCATCGGCCGCCGGCAGGGTATCCGTATCAGAAAGTTGAGAAGCAAGGCGTGCGGGTGGCATGTTCGGCGGCGGCGGAGAAGAAAAAGAAGAAGAAGGGGAGTTAGAAGATTCATTTATTTGGTGAACCAATCGAGGGATCCAAAAGCAGTTGATAATTTCTTTGAATTCTGAGCTGTTTGTGTCAATATTTAGAAGCTTTGCTTGCTTTTGCACTCGAGTTCTCCAGTAATTCTTTATCTCATTGTCTGTTCTTCCCGGCAAGTGTTGCGCAATCTTCGACCATCTTTTCAAAATCAAATATTAACGTAAATACAAAAAATTGAGGTGTTGATGATTTAGAGAATTATACATCTCTGGGTGGGTGAATCATGAAGAGGGAAATTCCAATTATAATGGAAAATTTATACCTATTACCCCATCTGGAATGAAGATCGAGAATCAAAAGCTGTTCTTGCGGAGAAAGGTTTCCTCTTTTCACATCCGGTTTCAAATAATTAAGCCATCTCAATCTACAACTCTTCCCGGTCCGTCGAAGCCCTTCAAAAAACACCAAAAAACACATCAAAATAATTCATGAAAAGAGACTGAAAAAAAGTAGATAAAAAAGTGATAAAATACCTGAACGAATGGCAAGCAAATTCCAGCGGCCTTCGCCATGAACAGAAATGGAATGAACAAGAAGAGAATCTTCATCAACAGTCCATGGGCCTCTCCTTAGGCCATTTTGGTTATCTTCAACAACGCTAGAGGAATAGCTACTGCTCTGGCTCTGGGTCTTACAAGGGGAAGCCATTAAAGAACAACCTCTCATAGTCTGACAAAGACTCGCTACTTTCTAAGCACACCATTATGTATATATAAAGAAAAGAATGTAAGCCGCCCCACAAATACAAAAATTCAAACCTGGGTATATCAAGTCTGCTAACAAAGGGTAGTATTTTCCACGTGCTCAAATTCCACTCCCTTCTCCAATAATAATATTATAAAATATTCATAACAAGATGACGATGGCGACGACTGTGAAGACTGCATGAGCATGGGTCTACTCGGGGATTTACTTTGCAAGTCCAAAGAAGAGGCTTGAATTTTAATGCTTTTTTTCTTCTTCTTCTTTGTTTTTTTTTTCTTAATAAAGAAACTACTTTAATAATTATTATAGTAATTTTGTGAATTATTTTTACATAATTTCAGTGTAATGTATCGGATATTCCGCATATAAATGAATATAAAAAAACTAAAAAATATCCACATTTTAAACAAAAGACGTGTCTAACCTTGATTTTACTAATATGTATTATTAATATTTTTAATAAAAATTTATATTCATAGCCACAAAAATGGAAAACAAAATAATCTAATCCACCAACAGCTGAATGGCCCGTTAATGTAGGCTGATTAAAAAGCCCAAGCCCAAGCCCAAGCCTAATACTAAATACAGTCCGGCCCAGATAAATATAAATAAATAAAAAAGTGTAATTTCTCCTTTCTTTTTTTCTTTTTTTTTTCTTCTTCTTAGATTTGGTTTAATATTAAGGAAACATTATTGAAATGCGAATAATTTGCATGAATTTCACATGCATAATCCGTTCATTAATCATTAACCAACATAAATAATATTCCTTAAACTTGGATTAAGGATCATCAATGATATTAGTGAATAATCAATTCGCTCAAAACAATCTCAATCAATTTCATTTTCAGATTGGTAGAAACCAACCAAAAAGACTTTAATGCTCATATTCAAGGCTGTTCCATAATTAACCCTACCCAACTATTAACAGAATAGTCCTTTCAAAAACAACTATTTACAAATAGTGGTGCCACACTAAAGATGAATTGCAATTTGCACCTTCTCGATATATCCATATTGATATTTATCCTCCAATATTTGCTTTTTATGGTTATTAATGGGCATTTTGCCAAAAGTTTTCAAATAATTTATTCCTTAATAGTATATTAAATATGTATAATGGGAAAGAGGGCAATTTTCAAACCTTATTTGACTTTGGAATTAAAGGAAATTTTTCAATTAATAAAATCAAATTCTTGCCCAGGGTTGCAATTAATAATCCTTCCATATCTTTGAAAACCCTAAGTTTTAATTTGCCACCTAATGCACACAACCCATAACTTTAATTTCATCTCCATTCTACTTTGTTTGCAACTCGTGTCTCAAAAAGGGGTATAAATTTGAAATATTCATCCAACCGTTATTGAGAGTCAACAAGATTTGATATCCTAAACTCGTAGGAGAAGTGGAGGTTGAATTGAAGAAAGTTGAGAAAGGGGTTGTGAGATCATACATCGGTTGAATAGGACAATATCGGGTAGCAGTGGGCCTGACCGTTACAAATGATATCAGAGCTAAACACGTGACGTTGTGCTAGTGAGGACGTGGGGCCTACAAGGGAGTTGAATTGTGAAATCCCATGTCAGTTGGAATTGGAAACATTATAAAGGTGCTGAGACTAATAAAGATAATGAAGGAGTCTCTTCGCAGAATCTAAAGAAGACGACAATATTTATTAGAGGTGAGCTTGAAAATTGTCGACAGGAATGGGAGAAGGATTAATGTATGTGGGACCCATATCAGGGGACAGCCATAGAAGCTGGTCTCACCACCAAACACAAACACAAATGCTTCTCATTTTCATTCTTTTAAATGAAACAGTAAGGGTTTTGTATTGAGCCATGAGTTAAGATAAACTCAAATCTTACACCCCGCGTCTTTGATAGTATAAATAAACACATCCCTCAATCCCTTCCTTCATTATCCTAAACCACAGTTGTTTAAATCTCATTTCAAACCTCTTTCCATGGATCCTGAGTTGCAGTCCTTCAAGCCATCCTTCTCCTTCCCTGACTTCATGGATCCCAATTTGGAGCTAATGGGTCACTATTCCGCTTCCAACCCAGTTGTTCTAGACAACCCATCTCTGAATTTCACCAACCTCTTGCCTTTCTCAAACGACATGTTCATCCCTCACCACCAAACCCCACCAGAATTCCCACAGAGTTTAGGAGACTGTAACAGCTTCCAAATTATGCAGCAAGCCCCTCCGGATCCCCCAGTTTGTGCTGAATTTCATGAGATGAAGAAGAGAAGACCCATGGATGTTTCAGAGAGCAGCTCTGGAATTTCAACTTCGGAAACAGGGTTGTTCAACGCCAAAAATGTATGCATACAATTCTTCAAACCCCTGATTAATCGAACCATGGCGTTAATAAACTTTCCTCTGTTTGTTTGTTTGTTTTACAGAGGTCAGGGAAAGGAAAGAGATTGAAAAGTATAGAGAAAGAAGAAGAGAAATCAAGAAGAGAAGTGGTGCATGTCAGAGCTAGAAGAGGGCAAGCCACTGATAGCCACAGCTTAGCTGAAAGGGTAACACTATTAAATGATCTTAATCAAGAACAACAAACCAAACAAACAAAGTTACTGAAATAGATTCATTGTTGTGACATGAATTAGGTGAGAAGAGGAAAAATCAACGAAAGACTAAGATGCTTGAAAGACATTGTCCCAGGATGCTACAAGGTAACAACAAGAACAAGAACACGAACATAAGCATATTCTTGTTATTTTTTTTACAATCTTATTGTTTGTTTTTGTGGGTAATTTTAACAGACCATGGGCATGGCAGTCATGTTGGATGAGATAATCAACTATGTCCAGTCTCTGCAGAATCAAGTAGAGGTATGAACATAAATGAAATCTTATATTTCAATTGGTATAATATTTAATAATGCCTTGATTTCTTTTGGATATCAGTTCTTATCCATGAAGTTAGCTGCAGCTAGCTCGTTGAATGACTTCAACTCGAAGGCCGACGTGCTATCAAAATTACAGGTAATTAAAGGTTAAATTACAAGTTTAGCTCGGTGGTATTAAAGGTAGATTACGAGTTAAGTTTGAGATTAATTGTTGAAGGCAAGAGCACATGAAGCAAGAGAATTGGAGAGATTGATGAGAGAAGGATATGGAGGAGTAGCTTGCTTCCACTCAACTTTGCCTCTTTGACTTCTGTTTCTGGATGTTGACTTCCATTACCCAAAACAATACTACAACAACATCATCCATTTTCATTTTTTTTTTTTAGTTTTATATTTTTGGTCATCAATCAATGATGGTGTACTTAATACAATGGAGATTTATATTTTAATTTCATTTGATTTTATTATCTTTTTAAACAATATAAACATAGGAATATTATTTGTGGGCATAATATTTTATAATTTTGGGTGCTATAAATTGGTTGGATAATGTTAGTTATGCAACTTAATTTGTTTATTAATTTTTATTAAAACCCAATGATTAGGGGAAGTCAAAATGGAGTTTAGAGAATGTGTTAAACCCTAAATAGGGAAACCCCCTTTATTTTTTTCTTTTCTTTTTTTAATGATTTAATACATTAATTCCTTTTATGATCATTTAATTTATTTTAGTGGAAATTGATAATCCTCTCCTCGACCCCATTTATCGGAAAAATGTTCTCCACTCTCTCCTCCATTCTCGAGAATCTCCTCTGTTCAAAGATAGATTTTTGCCCCTAAAGTTGACATGTTTATAACTAATGGATCGAATGATAATAATTCATATTAAAGCTATTACATAGTTAATAAAGGCGTAAGAAGTCACGATCTTAATCACATGACGAATTCATAGAATTGGTAATGTTTTAAATAAAGCTAAACTACACTCCTCCATTATTGTACTATAGTGTTGATTGTCATCCGCCCAACCTTCAAATCTTTCACTTTGTCTCCTATTTTATTCTTTATAATTTTTTTTTTTTTTTTAAAACATAATATATCTTCATGAATCCATATCATAACCAGAATTATTAACACATTTAGAGGAAGAATTTCTGGATTATTTGAATGTTTAAATTTACAAAATAGGTTATGAAAGGGAACCTTAATAATTGATTATTGATTATTGATAAGAAGGGGAAATGAAAAAAATTGTGTTTGGCACCCAAAAACAGTGAAGTGAGTGTGACGGTTTAACAAAAAAGAAAACTCCTAATTTATTGAAACAGTGGGTTTGAAAGACATCAAATTGCAAGAAAGACACAAAACAAAAAGGTCACTTTTATTTATAATTATTTATCTAGAATTAATATATTTTAAAATTCTATATTCATTTTAATAATATCTTAAACAATGTGTTGGATGTTGCCAATTCATTGTTTGAATGATTGGATTGGGGAAAGAATTTCGTTTTTCTCTTTGCCTAGGGCGATGGTGGAGTAGATGCAATGAATCCATTGCTATGGAAGAGAAGAGAAACACAGGTTTGATGGGCCAGTGGATACCCCAAACCAAACATGGGGGCACCGGTGGGCTCTTCCAACCAACCAGCACACAAACCCAAACCCAATATGACAACACCTCTTCCCTCACTTCACCAAGCGTCTATGCCAATGGATGGACCTTGAGTTTGGTTTGACTCCCACCCAATGGTTGCTTGCATTGTGAGTGCGTGTAATTGGAACATGCATGAACAAGATTTGAGGTGGGGTAAAGTTTTTGTGTCATTTTGTGGGCTTTTTGTCCTCTAAAGATTTGAGGGTCACTTAGTGTGTTTGATTCATATGGAAGTTTAGTTGTATTGTATGCATATTCAACAACCCTTTATTCTTTCCATCTTCTTCTTTAATTTGTTCATCCTCTTCAGACAACTCCCTTTTCTCTTTTCTCTTTTCTATTTTTATCTTTATTTGCTTTCACCACATCCACCCTCATGCTATAATGTTGGATTTTGTTCTCTATATTGCTTTCATAACTCACTTCCCTCCTCATTTAATTTTGGTGTCAAATCATCCAAAAAGTTCAAAAACTATATACTCGCCACCGACCCTTCAATGTATGAAAAAGAAATTGTAAAAATATATCGCTTTTATATCAAACAATTATTAACAATATAAATCTTTTAAGATCTAAATCTAGCGGTTTTAAAGAGAATCTCATAATAGTTAGAGACGAGTCATAACAACCCACCGGATCGGATAGGATAATCTTGGCGATATTGGATCAAATTTGTTCTTAGAAGATAGCTGAAATGTGGGCTTGAAACCCCAAATGGGCTATTTAGAGCGACAATGTGGCCGGCCCAAGATAGTGGACTTGTACAAAAGCAGCTCAATTAGGCCCATATAACTATTGAGGCCCAATATATGGGCTTCACCGACCTAACTTTAGAGCCGGGCCTTATAGAATTGCAATCTTTTTATCCAGGCCCGGAAATAGATCCTATACTAACTATTTTGTAAAGCAATTAATAATTTTGTTGCATTATTATAAATAATTTAGATGTGATATAAATATACAAAGATAAATCACTAATAAATGAGAAATCAAATTAGCATTAAGAACAATAAAAAGTCTAAGTGATTAGATAGGCCTCAAATGATTTACCGCATCGTGTCATCAACCAGCATTAAATTGATAATGCCATATGTGAGGATGACTCATCAACCCATCTGATTGAAATTTAATTCTTTTATTTTCTTCATCTTAATATCTAATGCAAGAATCAAGGCCCAAACCCATCGCAGAATATTTGACGTTCCTTGCAACTGGGGAGACTGATCGAACCGACTCTTCGCTGCTCTGCTGTCACCACGCGTCTTCCTTCAAAATCCCGCGAATCGGCGCTTTGGGTCTGTAGAGAAATGGCGCGCGGGGTTCGTGATGCGAGGTTTTGCACCGTCGGATAGCATAGGGATTACGAGAGGGTTCCGAAGTTATTACGATCCTTGTAGCTGCAATTTGTTCGGTACGGTTGTCAACTTTAGATACAATGTGGGTTTTGGGTTTTTGACGGAGTTTATCGCGGTGGGTTCTCGTCGAGCTGCTTAATTTCATACTCTGCTCCTTGGATTTGCTCTTTCGGTGCTTAATCGATTGAAGGGTAGCGCTACAGTGTTCAGGTAAGGTTGCACAAACAGTAAAATTACTCTGTTTGATTATTTACCTTTTTGCTACGAACAGAGCAGTTGTTTGTATTCTTAAATTGGACGCAATTGATTGAAATACAGCATGAAGTTACTAGTTCTGTGCGAGGGTAGGAGTGTTTTGTTTGTTTAAGTGACATTATCAATTGAATTCATCAGGTCTTGGCCGTCTATTAGATATCCGTTGGGGACGTTTTGGTATGGGGATCTTTCACCTCGCTATATTGCAAGAAATTTGAATAAGATGGCTGTGGTCAGCAAAACCAGAAGTACGCTCGAGGGGCTTGTTAGAGATAGTTCATTGAAATGGTTGTTAGGGAATCGGAGCTTCTTTGATGAAGAACTTGAAGAAATTGAAAGATCTCCTTCTGCTCAGAGGAATTGGATAAGTGAGCTCTCTCCATTTGCCAATGTGGTTGTTCGGAGATGTTCTAAGTAAGATTTTTCATAGCATGTTCTATTCTTTCAGCAGTCCTTGTAGGCTTCGAGGGAAAAATCATTTGTTCTTTACTATTTTGCTGTATTTTAGTGGTACTTGATATCTCTTTACAACTGTTACTTGGACGTCATTTATATTAAACTAGTGAATTAGTGTTCATGGATTTAAATAAATCGAATTTCAATCCATTGCAATTTCAAATATGCAGAATCCTTGGTGTTTCTGCTAGCGAACTTCAAGAAAGTTTTAATGTGGAGGCAATTGATTCAATCAAGGGTTCTTCGAATTATGCGAGAAACTTTCTAGAGTATTGCAGTTTCAGGGCACTTGCGGTATCTACACATAATACAGGCTATTTGGCTGATAAAAGATTTCGACGCTTGACATTTGACATGATGATAGCTTGGGAAGCCCCAGCAAGTTCTAGCCAGCCTGAACTTAATGTAAGATTTTGCTTTTATTGGGTTTGCATGTCTGAATTGGAAAATGAATATACTAGATCATTAAGATTCTTCTTCTGATCCCATTTAGTAGTTCACTCGGACTGTTCTTAGACGATGCATATGAAGATTCCATGCTGAATTTTTATTTGATATTAGTATTTTCAATATTCATCTACAACTGACCCTTGTTACAGATTGCTGAAGATGCATCAGTTGGGGTGGAGGCTTTCTCAAGAATTGCTCCAGCAGTTCCCATAATTTCAAACGTGATCATTAGCGAAAATATTTTTGAGGTGCTTACTACATCAGCTGGTGCTAGACTTGAGTTCTCGGTCTACGACAAGTACCTGAGCTCACTGGAAAAGTAGGCCCCTTCCAATTTTTTTGTGTTTATGCATCGAAGTTGCTATTTTGTTAGTTCTTTAAGTCTAATATCACATGGTCATCTTGATAGAGTTATTAGAAAAATGAAAAGCCTATCAGAGTCGAACCTTCTTCTGTCTGAAAGATCATTAAGAGAAGAAAGGATTTTAGAAATGGATGGAACAGTCACCACACAACCAGTTCTTGAACATGTAGGAATTTCTACGTGGCCGGGTGAGTCATGGAATGATTTGATTAACTTCTTTCTTCGATATCGTTGGGGCAAATGGATGGATATGTTAGGAGCAGGCAGTATATATCAGATAATATTTTGAAGATCTTGCTGTTAAATTTCTGTTTTCACCTCTTTATTTTCTCATCTGCGCAGGTAGGTTGGTTCTCACAGATCATGCACTTTACTTTGAAGCTCTTCGGGTTGTGTCGTTTGACAAGGCAAAAAAATATGACTTATCTGATGATCTGAAGCAGGTTGTCAAACCTGAATTGACTGGACCATGGGGTACTCGGCTCTTTGATAAGGCAGTTCTGTATAAATCCATTTCCTTGTAAGTTCCTTTCTTCTTGGCAAGCCTGGGCTTGATTGGGCTAATGGTGCAAACAACTTCTATCTGACCAATAAGATTATTATTAAGTGCTGTCAAGTTTGATTTTCACCTCTTTTTTTGTTGGTAAATGTGACTTTTGTAGATCAGAACCAGTTGTGTTTGAGTTTCCCGAACTTAAAGGGCATACTCGTCGAGATTTTTGGCTGGCAATCATCCGTGAGGTCTTATATGTTCATAGATTTATCAATAAGTTCCAGATCAAGGGAATTCAAAGGAGTGAAGC